AACGGGAGGATTTTTGTGAGACAGGAAACAGCAGCCGTTTGAAACGACAAACTTTCCGTCGGCCGGAGCGAGTCCGGGGCTTTTGCTGCTCTTCCCTTTAAATAGGGAAAACTTTTCCGCCCGGCTCAGTCAGTGCCTGTGAGCAGGGACCCTCCAGGCACCCGCTGCCTTGCTCCGGACGAGTCCTGCTGCTCAGTTCAACCCTGGGCAGAGGTATCTGGTGAGTACAAGGGTTTAACAGGGCTCAGGGAGCAGATGGAGATACACAGTCCAAAGTGACATGAGGCCGCCTGGCAGAGGATGCATGTGGGTTACAACCCTCCTGGCAGGAGGAATCTGAAAGGGCTTCCTCCAAGCTGCTTTATTCCTCACTGCCCATCGCCAGGAGCCTGCGAGGCCCCCGGAACCACCTGCCTGGAGGAGACAAGACACTTGGATTTGCCTCAGTGCATTATTAGTTCAGCAATTAATTCAAAATGGTTGTAATTAATGTGACCTGAACGCAGAGAACGTGCTCATTGCTCAATAACAGGCTCAGGATAACGTGTGGGGCACTGGCAGACCTGCAAGCGCTGAAGAGATGCAAAAGTGCTTTAAGGCTGTGAGGGAGAGCTGGAGCATCCCCCCAGCTCCCCACACCACGGGTTTTGAATGTTGTCCTGTGTTCTTCTCACAGGTTCTTCAGGACAGAGACACTCCAGTTTTGAGATGAGCTCCTGAGCAGCAAAGAGCCATCTCTGTGCAGTACGTGACGTGCGGCCAGAGCATCACAGAGAAACAAACCTTCAAGTGCTGTGAAACCCCTATTCCGTCCATGCTGCTTTGGTCAACGGTCCAGGCCACCAGCTGAGGAGATGGCCCAGAGCACCCAGCTCCCACCCAGCTTTGAGGATGTTTTTCATATGCTATCCCAGATCCCTCAAGAAAAACTCCTGAACCTCAAACATAAACTGAAGCACTTGGTATTTGGGCCCAGCAGCAAACTGCTTCAAGCCATGGTTCTGCTTGCTCTGGGGCAAGAAATGGAGGCAAGAATTTGTTTGGATGCCTTGCGAGATAACCGGGCAGCCCAGTATGTCCACCAGACCAAGCTGGGTGCTGCAGGAGTGCAGGGAGATGGGGAGGATTTGCAGCCTCCCAAGCTGGATGCAGGTGCCATGGAGCTTCTGGCACAGATCTACGCAGTGCTGGTGAAGGAGAAACTGTGCAGCCGTGAAGCCATGGAGAAAGCCTGCCAGGCTGCCAGGGAAGCCTGCAACGGCAGCAAGGAGACTCCACCGGGACAGCTCAGAAGCATTCCACCCAGGGACCACGGAGAACATGGCCCTGCTGCCAGCAGGGGCTCAGGTGGCAAATGGCAGGCACCGAGAGCTGATGCGGCCACAGGGCTTCTTTCCGCCGGACTTCTTCCAGCCACCCGAAACCACGAGGTGAGAAGTTCTCCAGTGGAGATAGGAATCAACTCGGACCTGTCCCACCTCTCAAGCCCGCGGAGTTTGCGCTCCGTGGAGAGCCCCTCGTCCTCCTTGGAGAATCCCTCTTTCCCCAGTCACCTCGAGATCAGCGCGTCACCAACAGTTGTTGTCCAGAGCCAGACCTGCCCCCCGGAGCGTGCTCAACAGCCTGATGGGGACAGGCAGAGCCATGGCCTGCAGGGAACAACCTGCACCAGCCCCAGCTCTCATCCTGCCCAAGTCCTCCAAGTGGAGAAAGCGCCACAGGCCAGTTCATGTCACCCAGTTGCCCCAGCTCCTGACATGCAGCTGCCCACGATGGGTGCTGTGAACCAACCTGTTGAAAGCAGTGATGCCTCCAGCACAGTGGCAGCAGAACCTCAGGCACCAAAAGAAAACGCAGACAAAAAGCAAGGTGGAAAGCAATCATCTACGGGTCTTCCTGCCTCAAGGGCTGCAGCGGATGCTGGTCCTGCCCACGTGTCCACGGAGGAGCCGCATGTTCCAGGAGGCATTCCTTCTAACTCTGCATCTGCTGCCATTTCAACTCGTTCGCTTCCTCCTCCTACCTATGCCTTCTCCTCAACCCTTCCCCCTCTTCATGGGCCTCATTCCAACTTGCCGTACCCCCCGCGCTCCCACTCATCCCCCTCTCTTGCCTGGCCTCCTTCTCTCCAAACTGCAGAACCAGGTCCCACATCAGAGCCAGATGATGAAAAGTTCTTCACTTTCGTTGTCCTGCATGCTAGTGAAGATGAGATTGTTGCCCATCGGGTTAAGGACCTGCTGGAGAACATGGGGGTTCCCAACGGCGCTACGCTCTGTGAGAACTTTGCCATTGCTGGACGCAGCCATATGACTTGCTTCCAGGATGCTATGGAAAACTCCGCTTTCATCATCCTGCTGCTGACCAAGAACTTCCCGTGCGACCTCTGTATGTTTCAGACAAACACTGCTCTGATGGAGTCCATCAAGAATCCATTCAAGTGTGACTCAGTCATCCCTTTTATACCCAAGGAGAACCCCCTGCAGTGGAGTCAGATGGTTGGCTTACACCTTTGGATGAGAAATCTCCTGGCTTCGCCAGGACAGTGCAGAACACCTTTACCACCAACAGGATCAACAAGAAGAAGGAGTCATGGGACCTGCTGCAGAGAAAGAAACTACAGCTGCAAGAGGAGCGGTACCGAACGCTGCAGAACATGGCTACCCTGAACCTTGGTGGCTCCATCCCTCCCTCAGCAACACGGTCCCCACTGCTGGAGCAACCCCCCCGACAGTGGTGCCCCCCGGCTGGAGGTGGCTGCAGACCTGCCCACATGGGTTCTCCTCCTGTCCAAGCCCCCTCAGGCCACTACAACGTGCTGCCAGGCCCGGGAGGCATCCCACCCCTCATCATCCAGAACGCCCGGATGGTGCAGATCGGGAACCACAACGTGATGCAGGTCGAAACTGTCACACCGGCTCCGGCGGGCACTGAGGAAGACTCCAGTGTGTGATCAGAGGAGGAGCAGGTCAGCCAAGGCTGGAGCTGCTCCCGCTTAGTTTTGAACCCAAAATGAGTGATTCTGCTGGGACTGGCACTTCTCTTACTTCACAGTGGGTTAAAAGTGCCACTTTCCTGGAGCACAGGAGAAAATGACCTGCTTTTGTGTTGGACAAAAGAGGGTGCAGTCTCCTGAGAGTATTTTCCTTGTGCTTCTTTATAAGTAAATGAGAAAACACTTTTTAACTGAGATAACTCTTGATTTTGAGGCTACCGGATGGGTTTAGAAATAAATTTTAATTAATTGATTTGTGTTTCTCCAGTTCTTTCCTGTAGAATTCCCAAATGGG